TAGTTTTATTCAAGAGTCTAAAGCACATTATTACAATCCATAGTGGGAAGGGTTGTGCACTAATTACATTTACTTTTGCAAGAGGAGGAAGAGTGATTTACACTATTTTTTCTACATAAACATCTAGAAAGATCAACTCCACAACACGAAGTTTATTCACTTTTACATACACACACACACACACACCAGTCTATCAGAGTAGGTTGAGTAAGTGGAACATAAGATTTTGAAAGAACACTATTTTATTCATGGCATCAAAAATGCTGATCCTGATGGTCTAGGAATTAATGATTACACCAGAAAGAAAATTGTGTGGAATTCACCCTGCTTTCCCAAAGCTTAAAAATCTGGGCAGCATTATACACCTTGTGCATAAATATAACATTGGACATAAAACTAAGGAGGTGATGCTTGCCAAAAATTTATATAAATGCTTAACTGAACAATAAACTATTGATAACAATCACTTCTTTTCCCCACTCCAAACAGAATGCAGGCTCCTTGAGGGCAGATACTTGGCAGTTCTTAATTAATTGCTCTCTCAGGGACCTAGAAAAGTACCTGGCACATAATAGATACTTAATAAGTATTTCTTAGATAATGTGAACTTCAGAAGTAATCAAGGGGACACTGAACCTCTCCCTGCACATATTTCTGTATCTATTAGGAGGAACAGTGCGACTATCCAACTTCCTCTTCTTAAGATTATCGCTGTCCAGGCCATCACACCCCACTCCCCAGGCAAAAACAAAAACAAAAATTATTTCAGTGTAATCAACATTGTGGGTGGAAAAAAACAAAGTTTTGTGAATTAAAGGGCACTATTAACAGACAGAAAAGGCAACACACAGAATGGGAGAAAATATTTGCAAATCACAGCTGATAAAAAATATACAAAGTACTCCCGTAACACCACCAAAAATACAAACAACCCAATTTGAAAATGGGCAAAGGACTTGAATAGACATTTCTCCAAAGACGACAAATAACTGGCCAATAAACGCATTAAAAGATTCTCAACATCATTAATCATTAAGGTAAAGCAAATCAAAACCACAACATACCACTTCACACCCATGAAGATAGTTATTATTTTAAAAAAACATAAAATAACTGTTGGCAATCATGTGGAGAAATTGGAACTCTTGTGAATTTGTGATGGAGATGTAAAATAGTGCAGCTGCTGTGGAAAATGCATGGCACATCCTCAAAAATGTAAAACAGAATTACCATATGATCTGGCAACCCCACTTCTTGATATAAACGCAAAATAATTGAAAGCAAAGATTAAACAGATAGTTGTACACCCATGTTCATAGTATCATTATTCACAATAACCGAAAGTGGACGCAACCAACCAAAATGTCCACCAACAAATGAATGGATAGATAAAATGTAGTATGTATGTGTGCACATACAGGGTGGGGCGAAAGTAGTTTTACAGTTGTGAGTACAGGAAACAGTTTATCCTTGTATTATTTATTAATTATTGTGTTATTTTCCTACTTTTGCCCCACCTATACACAGATTAGCCATAAAAAGAAATGTAATTTGATATATGCCACAACATAGACCTTGAAAACATGCTTATCGAAATAAGCCATTCACAAAAAGTACCAACACCATATGATTCCTTATACACGGTACCTAAAATAGGCAAATTCTTAGAGGTGGCAGAATAGAGGTTACCAGAGGCTGGGGGGGAAGAGGGAGTTCGGAGTTACTGTTTAATGGGTATAGAGTTCCTGGTGGAATGATGAAAAGTTTTGGATACAGTAAAGATGGTTACCGTAACATTGTAAATGTATTTAGTGCCAATATGTTATTAAATGTTACCACAACTGAAAAAGGAAACCACCATCATTAGTTCCATGCATTTTGGTAAACTCGACAAGAGCGAGTGAGATTCATTCTCAACAGTATCAGTCATAGCTGACAGATTTAGATATTTTCTACAGAACAGCTACTGATGAGTCACGTAATAAAGACCATTGGTTTTAAACACTTCACACTTTTGCAAGGTTCGAAATGTATCCAAATAAGCCTTTTCCTGATCCACACATACTTTTACCACCATCAGCTGTGACATTACCTCAGCCAATTCCCACTTTAAGGAACTAGTGATGGCTCATCTTTAAAAAGAGTCTCACCTGTGGCATTCCAGAAGCCAGTTTCCGGGCCAGTTCTTCAATCTTCAAACCCAACATTGAGCCCTGAATAAACAACCGAGCGGTATAAAGCTAACATTTTTTTTTGACTCAAGTGCCAAGGAAAACTTCCAAAGGCTTTGCCGTTTCTAATGAACTATTCACAGGGCTTCCAATGTCCTCCGCTCTCCAAGCCACCAATCCATCCAAAGGCTAGTTGTCTTAAACAAGCTTATTTTCTCTGGACAGATCTTTTCCCGGAAGATTAACTCCACATCGGTAAATGCTTAGGGAACTGATACCTTAAAAGCACAACATTCAAAGCCCAGTGTTTTTTTTTCTTTCTTTTTGTAACGTTGAGTATATGCACTGATTACTTTTTTAAAGATAAAATGTCACTCGAGACACTTTCTACTTTATTTTTACTTGATTCCAGAGAGAGGAGGAGGGAAGGAACACGGATCCCCCGCAGCCCGCGGGTGTGCCGGGCCGGAACCGAACCCGCGACCCCCTGGGGCGCCGCCCCGAGAAACCGGGCCACGCCGGCCCAGACCAGAAACACCGTATTTTCTTTCGTAGGCGTTTCATGTCGGACACTTCTTTCGAAATGAAAACGTCGCCAAGGGCCAGCGGGACGCCCGCGTCTCTGGCACCCCCTGGCTTCAGCCGTCCCGGCAGGATAGCCCGACAAGCGTGTGTGCGGACACGCGTGGGGACTTCCCGCCCCACAGGCCCGCTCGCCGGCGGCTCTGGAAGCCTTGGGAACGCGAAGCCACCTGGCCCCGGGCGCGCATCCCGGCGGCCGCGGACGGGCCTGCCCGCTCCCCGCGCCCTGGGACCCCGGCCCCCCACTCCTCCGAGCCGCGTTTCTCGGTTCCCTCGTCTGCTGAACGCTCACGGCGTGTTTTCCGCCCGGCCGCGCGCCGCTGCGCCCCGAAAGGCAGCCTGCACGCCGACGAGCAAGGACGGGAAAGAAAACGTACCTCCTCTGGGGCGCGCAGGCGGAAACCCGTCCTCCAGGAGCCCGGAGACGGCCGGGGCGCAGGCAGCCCCGGGCCCAGGTAACCGAGGGCCACCGCGCGGTCTGGCCACTCCCGGGACCGCGGCGCCTTAAGCCCCCGCGCGGCCGCTCCCACAGGTGCGCACGTGCACGCGGACACCTGCGCCGGGCCCGCCCACTCGCCGCACGTGCGCGGCTCCCAGTCCCGGGGGCGGGGCCTGCGCCCTGACAAGCTCCACCGCGGTCAGTGAGCTCGGCCCGCTTCCTCAGGTGAGGGCCGAAGCCTGCGGGCCCCCGACGCCACGCCCACTTTCCCACGCGACGCCGGGCGTGGCCGGTCTCCCCTGCCGCACTCTGCCCCGCCCACCTCCAAGGGGCCTGTGCTCCGGTCCCGACAGGTGAGCCGGCTGTGACCACGCTGCCCCCTGGCGAGGAGTGAGGCAAACGGCCTCGCTACTGGTTTCGGGGTTAATTTCGTTCATCTGGCTCATTTGTCACCTGCACAGCCCGGCCAACCCTTTCGTCACCATTGACACCAAAATGCAAGGGGGAGAGGGAAGGTCTCTTTATGCAAAGCTGTTATTTAGAAGGCAGGAGGATTTCCTAAGAATGCCCGACCCCACACCAACAAATTGGAAACAAGTTTGCTGTAAAAAAGAATGTGCTTCCTTACAAAACTAATAAAGGGAGCAAATGGAGTTAACCTATCGTCCATGAATGGCAAAACCAGTGAGCAAAATGTTGACATTTAGCCTGAAAAAACCTCTTAATGAAATTAAATGGGAACAGTTAACTTCACAGTGGAGACACTTAATACACCATAACCCAACTGCTCAAAGTAAAACATCACTAAAAATGGGACAAGGTGATATTCTGTGCCTCAGTATGATGCCCCAAGAACACAGCATCCTTTCTGTGGTACCCTACAGAAAGCTTTTTTAAAAATCCTCACCCAAGGACATTTTTGCATTTATCTTCAGATAGAGGAGGGAGAAAGAGAAACATGGATGTGAGACACATCGACTGGTCGCCACCCACAACCCAACTGGGGCTGGGGACAAACGGCAACTGAGATGCGTGCCCTTAGGGGAAACTGAACCCAAATCTCTCTGGTCCACGCTCTAACCACTGAGCAAAACCTGCCAGGGCATAGATTGCTACTTTAAATCTGTGAAAAATATCACAGCCAAATTGAAGGACACTCTATAATCAGCCAACACTTCTCAAAAACATCTCTCATGAAAGACAGAAAGGTTAAAGGGACATGAAATCTAGAAGCAGGGATTCTGGGTTGGATCCTGCATCAGGGAGAAAAAAAAACAACTTAAAAAAATAACAAATGTGTATATAAAGAGAGACTGTAAAGCAATTGGGGCAAAATGTGAAGTTGGTGGATCTAGGCAGAATATTTGCAAGTTCCTTTGTACTCTTCTTGCAACTTTTCTCCAATTTGAAATTACAAGATACTGTACTTTTAGAATGTCTTCGAACCTGAAAGAAGCAGATGTACAAGGACCAGTGGACAGCCAGATTGACCTGTGTTTTGCTACTTCCTTGCAGAGACTGACGTGTGTGGCACAAACTCACCATGATCTGCATCAGCAGTAAAAGACAGAGAAGTGTGCAGAACACACAACTGAACAGTTCCTTCTCCCACTACTCAACAAGAGGCACCAGCCCAGCCCAGCCCAGCCCACTCCCCATTCCCCATACACACACAGTTGGACCCACAACCTCAGCAGATCCTAAGCTCAGTCAACTAACCACGTAGGATCCAGCTAGTGAGCTCTTCTTTCCTCGATAAAGAACTGCCCTTAGCTCCACCAGCCCAAACCCACAGATGACACAGGCAAGGTTGTTGATGGTTTATTGATATTATACAGCATAGCAGAAGGATTCAAACGGCTCCACGTGGTGTTTTGAAATTCATCCCAACTGTAGGCTGAGTGACCTGCAGGTTGGACAGGCTGCCAAAGTCCTGGAACAACAAAATGGTTCAGGTATGGCTATACCAGTGAGATCTGTGGTCAGAGCTCCAAGACCACCACCGAGCCTTGCTTGTCAGCCTCCACCAGCTTGGGGTCAAGTGGGCAGGACCCTGAAGAAACCCAACAAAGGGCCTTCTCCTCCCAACCCCAGAGTAATAATCTTACAGGGAGTCTACTCAAGATCTAAATACCCTGCACACTGTAGGATGCTGAGCAGCACCCTTGTCCTCTATCCACTGGTGTCTATTAGGATCCCCCAGCTGTGACAACCAAACAACGTGGTCAGACATTACCAAATGTCCCAGGGTGAGGGTGGGGGTCTCTCTCCCTTTGAGAACCATTGCTCTAGGCCATACACAGTGTCACTTCCTTTCCAGGACCAGCCTCAGGTAGGCTGCCTCACAAATGGCAGGCCCTAGGCAATCAACAAACTGTGTAAAAGTACTAAGATGAGCCACAGAAGAAACACATTACTGCCCAGCTGGTGTGGCTCAGTGGTTGAGCATCAACCCACGCACCAAGAGGTCACAGGTTCAATTCTGGGTCAGAGCACATGCCAAGGTTGTTGGCCAAATCCCCCCGGGGCGGGGGGGGGGGGGTGCAGGAGGTGGTCATTCGATGTTCTCTCTCATTGATGTTTCTGTCTCTCCCTCTCCCTTACTTAATCTCTAAAACCAAGAAAAAAAAACAACACATTAGCAATCTGTAATGATGATAGCTAAACTGTGTAAAGAGTTCCCTGTAATAAACATCTGGAAATGAGACCACAGCTCACTTGAGTGGTTCGTCTGCACTGACAAAGGAAAGAAGTCCCTGAGGGAAACTGCAGAATAGGAAAAATCAGGGCTGGAACCATGGGGGCAAATGTGAGGAACCAGGCATAGAACTGAGGATGAAAGGAAATAACGCATGGAAAACACTGGCAATACTTGGTGTTACTACAGGCAGTAGAAAGCTACTGGGAAGTACTACTTTAGGAATTCGGCAAACACTTACCAAGAGCTTCAGCATTTCCTTTGTGTCAGGATCAACTTCAATGATCTCCTGATCCAGGGCTGAGACCTAGAAGGAACAGGAATGGCCAAAATATCAATCAGTGAGCTATCTTTCACCTTCCCCGCCCTTTCCCCAATACTCTTAAAAAAAAAAAGAGGGGCACTCCCAAAGGAGACAGGATAGGATCCAAAAAGGTGAGCAGTCAAGCTTAAGGATTACAGGTCCCAAAGATCATGTGGTTTTACCTTTGTATGCCCTCATTATTACCTTATCAAGATTCAGAGACCCTTAAGAACCTTAAGACTATTAAAATACTTGTGCTAAGGCAAATACTCAAACCAAAAGACATGGCAGGGCAAACACACATCACAGAGGGCCGTCAAGTGAAAACCAGAAGGGCCTCCAGTGGCCCCGACAGGGCAGACCAGAGACCAGCACCTACAACCGGTTAAGGGTACGTGGATAAGATCCTCCTGCTCCAACTCAGCTGAGGTCCCTTAGAAACCAGGCACCTGGAGGGGTTTCTCAAGCGCCTGCTTTATCCTTCAGGACGAGCCGGGGGGCCCAGAGGACAGACCCAGGGCGTTTACCTCAGGGACATAGTTATCTCTCCGCTCTCTCTCCTCTTCCTGCAGTTTGATGGAGATGCCTCTCACGGGTCCTCGCTGAATCCGCTTCATCAGATGTGTGACGTACCTGCGTGCAGATGCCCGTGAAAACCGGAGAACGCGGCCGTCCCGGGCTGCACGTTGCACCCGGACACACAAGCAGCAGTTACAGTTCACTCCGCAGTGAGCAAGGAGAGCCCCCGCCCCCCCAGGAGCCCCGACTCTGAGAGGTGCACACAGCTCCGCCGCCTAAGCACACCGGCCACAGCCAGCAAATCCTCCCGTGGAACACCACGGCCCCTCCCCGGTCTTCAATCCCAACTCACTGCCCTAACGTCCAGTCCTGCCCACGGCCAAGGGGTCCCTGCCGTGCGGCCCAACGCGGGCGGTCCCCATGAAGACCCTGCAAACGCACGGCGGCAGCATCGACCAGGGCGGCCCCACTCACCCCGCTATCTTGTTCCGGAGCTTCTTACTGGGGATAATGGCGATCTCCTCGCACACGCGCTTGTTGGTGTGGAAGTCGTTGCCCAGGCGCGTGTAGTACTTCTCGATGATGACCCGGGCCGCCTTCTTCACGGTCTTGGTGCGAACGCGCCCCTGCGGGTGGAGAAGACAGGGTCACCGCGAACCAGGACACCCACCTGGCGGCGGCCCGCAGCAGGGTCCGCAGGCTGGGACCGAGCGCGGGGGAGAGGGACGGCGAGGGCCGGCCGGGCGGTGCAGGAGCGCGGGGATCGACTCGGAAGCCAGCGGCCCGCAGAGGCTCCGGCCTGACGCGGCCCGGCGCCCCATCCTGCGGGTTAGAAGCCGCGGAAAGAGGTGGATGGAGGTCGATTGTGGGAAACAACAGCTTCCGAGAAGAACACCTACCATCTTGGCGGGTCCCTGGTGAAAGAGGAAACAGGAAGCACAAGAGAGGCCTATAAAGCGCAGGCTAGAAAGCCGCTTCCGCTTGACCCGGGACGCGCTGAGCCAAGGCGGGAGCGCCGCGGCGACCCCTGGCGGTGCGGGGCGGAAGTGCGGACGGCCAGCCACCCACCGTGAGCGGGTCTCCCGTGTCCAAGCCCCAGCCCGCTTAGCGGTCTTTGGACCAGCTTCTCTACACCGGTGCTTCTGTGACCAGATAGTGCATTTGATTGCTCCAGACCAGGGTGAGGGGAGCAGGCCGAGTCCCTGGGAAGGCCAACTGGGGGCGTGGAAAGGTGGAGTAAGGGATGTCACCCTGCCCAGAACCCCCACCCAGTCCATGGGTCAGAGATTTGTCCTGCTAGCCTGGTGGAAACCCGGGTAAACTGGGAGAAGCTTATCTCATGTTTTCCCCTTGGCTCAAAAACATCACCTTATGGGAGGGGCTTTTCCTCCAACTTACATAGCCATCACTACCCCAAAGCGGCTCTCATTTTTACTACTTGTCACAGTGACGTGCCTTAGTTTTCTCCACTAGGGGGGAGCTCCATGACAACAGGGCCGTTTGGTTTAGCTACTCGGGGTGCCTGGACAGTGCCCAGCCTGAAGCTCTCAAATATGTAAGCCAAGGGCCCCGCTCACCTTGCAGTATTCCCAACAACCGAGACACCTGCAACCACCACTGTCTTCAGGCTGTTTCCGCCATACCCATCCTAAAATCAGGTTCTCTCAAGCCCCCAGCACAGGCCATGCTTGGTGGCCTCATTAGCCCATGGAGTACCCTGCCCCCACCCTTCAACTCTGCAAAAGGAGTCCCTAGGCCCCCACCTGTCGGAAGAAAAGGCTGGGCTGGCCAGGTTGGGTAAGTTAAGGGGCACAGAGTTGTGCCTCATCCCTCAACCTACCTACTCGTCACCTTGGTCAGTCCAGTCTGAACTGAATGGGAATGGAAGGCTGCAGGACAGGAAGCTGCCCTCTGTGGAGAAGGTAAGAGGAGACCAAGAGGGAGGGCAGACTTTCCCGAGTTGCAGGAACTTACTTGACCAGCAAACTTCAAGCCACCGTGCTGCCAGCCAGGCCTCAAACGAAAGGTGGGGTCTCTCTCCTTGGCCGAGGGACTCCCAACCCCCCTGGGTGAGCTCTTGCACCTCTCACAGAAGGGAGAGGGCAGGGTTCCCTGCACCTATTCTCCCAAAGGATCAGCCCAGCAGATGGGCCCAGGTGCAACATACCTGACAAAATCCACAGACCCTCTCACCTCACAAATCCTGGGAATCTGAGAGCATGAGGGCTCTCTGAAGAACAGCCAAAGTACCATGAATGACGCCCTCCCTCTCAGAAATGAACTGGGTCAACACAGGCGAGTCCGAGAGGATGGAAGCTCCTGATGAGACAATGGTGCACAGCGCCTGAGCAGCTGTCCCAGGTCCTCCGAGCTGGCCCTGGGCTAAGAGGAGCCCCTAGAAGCTTAAGTGAGGGCTTTTCACACTTGGACTAGCAGTACCCACCTGCCAGAGAGGCACCTCCAAGGTGCACTTGACCAAGGAAATGACCAAGAAGTACTTACAGGGGCAAGTCTCCCACACGATCCCACCATCCACCTGGGTACAATCTCATCATAGAAAATCCAAGGAAATGTGAGTTTTTACTCTGGAGTCTTACTTATTACCCACCCCTCTGGCCCCAAGCCCCCTCCCCTCAGACACAGAGACAAGAACAGAACTCTGCTGCAACGTGTTTATTATGTGCCAAAAAAAACTACACCACAGCTTACTCCACACATCTGTAGGAGAGTGCAGTCTTGCCTGCATATACTACAATGAGGTAGAGACTTCACACACAGCTTCACAAAACCCACAGAGTAGCTGGGATATGCGACAATGCAACGTCAGCTCAGCGGGGGGTCGGGGGGGATGACACTGGTTCTTTGGCACACAGCTTCCCAAAGAGGGGCAAGTCATTTTTTTTTTTTTTAAATAAAAAGAAAGAGTCAAGTTTTCAAATCCCAGTAGCATTTCCGTCCACTGCAACTGTTGCTCCATACATTTCTCAAATCAAAGAAACAAGGGAAGGGTACTTGTCCCCTCTGAGAGAACGGGCTCCTGTGAGCCTTCGTCTGCCCCCACCAAAAAGCAGCCCTTTTTAGCTCAGTTACAAAAGAAAGAAGTCCTGTAACTTTGTGATTAAAAACTTCTATCAACCCCCCCCCAATAAGTGCAACTTAAGAAGGTGCAATAAACCATTTAAACCTATATACAGCAGCTGCTCAAATACCATTTACCTGGTCCAGTTTGCAATTCAAAAAATTTTTTTTTCTTGGTTGCAAATTTTTTCCCCTTCATTCGCAACTGTAAGAAACAGTGACCAGCAGTCCCCAGACACAAATTTGCTATAATGTTAAAAGCTGCCAGGAAAGAAAAAAAAAATCTCTTGTTCCAAATGACTTAAAAACTATTTTAAGGAGTGTAAAAAGGAACCGGTAAAAACCCTCGAGCATAAAATATGAAATATGATTTTGGTTTAAATGAAGAGCAAAGTCTCCTTGTTGTTTACAGTAAAAAACACCAGCTGAACACTCAGTTTATGCCGTTCAGGTGGGGGTTAAATAAATGGAAAGGCACTGTATGGCAACTGCAAGAATGAAACCAACGAGACCTGCGCATCACCACCATCAGTATTGCAAGGAATGTAAAAAAAGCGCTTTTAATAAATAAACCTAGATGTAGGCATCATGTCAATACCTTCTGGACACGTAGTTCTTTTTTGCTTTTCATAGGCAAAATGAGAAACTAAAATCTGGGAAAACTACAGAGTCGCCTGGAGGGTGAGCCAGAGGGTCCTTGCCCTGGCCCAGCCCCTGAAAACAAACCCGACAAAACTCATTGTGCATTAATTAGTGCAGAAACAAAGACAGACTCAGCAAGTGCAAAGGTGACTAGATCTTCCCTTGTCCTCGGGAAGCCAGCTCCCTGGTCGCCGGTGGCCAGGTGGTGCAGGCTGCTGCCTGACCTGCCAGCCTCGGGCGTTACAGGCCAGCGGGCAAGGCCGGCTCCTCTAGCTGGAATCCCGGCTCTTCTGGTTCCGCATCAGGGGGCTGTGGTGGCGCAGGCCCTCCGTGCTGTGCCGCCAGTGCCAGCAGCTCCGGCAGAAGTACTTGAAGCACACCTGGTGCGGGGGAGAAAAAGGGAGACGGCACCCGTCAGCTCCACTTTCCAGGGAGGGGGGATTCCTGGGGCCTCTGTGGGGCTAGCAGAGAGGGTCTCAGGGAACCCTCTCACCCTGACCAGGCCGGGCTCCCACTGTGTACGGAGACTGCAGCTCTCCTCCCTGGCCCTTCTCCCGCCTACAGAGCCGCTGCATCACTTGCTGCTGATGTGTAAACGTCTGCAGACTGACTCCAGACCCTCACGTAGACGACATGCCTTCCTCTTCACCTACAGGAACAGCACCCCGTCTCTGTTCCACCTCTTGCTCTGAGCTGTGTAACCTCTAAGAAGCCACTGACCTCTGACCAATTACCTGAAAACGAGGGGTCGTCTGTAAAAGATCTGACACCCAAAGCCTGCTATGAAGGCTGATCAGACACATGCTCGTCCTCAGGCTTGACCCAGCAACCCCAACATGCTGCACACCCTCATCTGGGAGCCACCGTTTAACCAGTCTACCCAGGGACTCCAGGCCTGAGTGACAGCGTCACTACACGATGAGGCATGGGGGGACTGCCAGGCCCCAACTCCCCTCCTCACAGTAGTACAGACCAGCAACGCTGGCCCCACTGGACACTTGTCAGATTTTTGGAGTCTCGGGCCCACTCCAAACCCTCTGGATCACAGCCTGCATTTAAACAAGGTCCTCAAGAGATGTGTACGCACTTCAAAGCGTGCAAAGCACTTTTGCCGACAAACGTCCCAGGTCTGTGCGCCACCACCCAGAAACGGCCAAGGGAAGCTGCCATGCTGCTGTCTGCCTGTGTCTGGCAACGGGCACACCAGGGGAGAAGTCAAAGCAGTCCAGAGGTTCAGAAGTGAAAGAGGGGTCCCTGAGCGGGGGAGTCAGCCTCGAGGGCCTAGGAATTCGAACAACCCCGCCTGGCTCACAGGTCCCGCTGAGCATATCCACTCAGGTTCCCGCCATCTTCAGAGCCCACTGATGGGTCAGCAATAAGGCCACACTGTCTGCCAACATCCAGCACAAGGAGAAGGCCAAGTGCCAAGACTCAACTGAGGGAGCTTTCCCAATAGTTTCGGGTCAAACTACCAAAGTGTGCCCCTGGTCTGACGCCAGCACCTCCTCTGTGCTCAGACAACCACAGGGTACCCGAGAACACCCACATTCTGTGACAAGCATGGTGTGACCACTTTTAACTAAGGGTGCGGACATTCTAGACACCTCAAGTGCCCAGGACACTCACCTGATCTCGACAGAAGAAAGGGCCAGGCTGAGAGCTGCAGATATGACACAGAGAATCTTCTAGGTAGGGGTCGATCTGAACCTAAACAAAGCAAAACAGGAGAACCAAGTGGCTCTTCTCGGCAGGAGGCCATGGGCCTGGGGGGAGGGTGCATCACTGTGTCGGCTGTGTGAATGCAGGGTGTCCGGGTCAGAGGGACCTGCGGAGACTACGGGCATTGAGCAGAGACCCTCGAGGACAGGTGAGCACCAGGGCCAGGCTGCCAGCCTCTGCAATTTGGGTGACCACACACATACCTGCTGGTCTTCCCAGCACACTGTACCCCACACTCTACCTCCCAAGCAACAGGGAAGTGTTCAGAGGACACACAAGAGAAGGGAGCCAGGTTCCTAGCTAGGCCACAAATACCACAGCCAGGAAGGCACCCACGAAGCTAGAAGGCTCAACAGTCCCCCTGCCTCCTCCTGAGTCTGCAAGACCAGGCTCAACCCCAGACCCAAACCCCTGTGAGTCCCCAGGGGCTTGGCTCTCTCCCCTGGGCATACCCAGCACAGGTACAGCTCCCGTCTCAGGCCTGTCCTGGGTAGTAACTGGCCCAGAGGAAGGGACAGGCCAGCCTCCTCACCTTCTTGGTGAACTTGGTGGTCTTGATC